ATAAGATAATAATAAAATAATAATAGTAAAATAATAATAAAATAATAATAGAATAATAATAACAAAATAATAATAAAATAATAATAAAATAATTAAGCAACAATAATAATAAAACAACAAGGATAACAAAATAATGACAAAATAATGATGACAATGAAATAAAAATAACGAAGTAACAACATTAAAACAATGACAATAGAATAACGATAATAATAAAAATAAAGCAGTGTTAACGATAAAATATAATAAAATAACAATAATGACGGTAGTAAAAATGATAATAACAATAACAAAAAAAAATAAGATAATGAATGAAATAAAAATCAGTGTGGGTCAAACGATACCAAAAAACTTTGTCTGGGCCGCGCTTGATTGAAAGGATGATAAACATGAAGATGATTCAATGGCTGAAAAAAATAGCTACCTCCAGAAAAACTCCATCATATGTGCTCTTGTAAAAATCATCTTCCAATATCGTCGTTTGCAACAACTGTGCCATACGATTACCTGCATTGGCACGTCTTTCACGTGTCTTAACCATAAGCTCAACTGGTTCCTCTTCATCGCTATCGCTATCGCTACTTTCGCTTCTATAAGCATCGATAAAAATTCAAGGTGTTAATATGAAGAACGTCTTCCCCACCAATAATCTATTCACTAATTTTGCTGTACATTAAGATTCATGAATTATGGTCGTTCCACGTTTTCCACGGTTCCGATTGGCCGTTTACTTCAGAAATTACGGTTCGCCCTACCAAAGGTCGCAAATCATCTACCGATTTTATTATCATTATTTTATTATCATCATTTTATTATCACTGTTTTATTATTATCATCTTACTATTATTATTTTATCATTGTTATTTTATCATCATTATTTTATCATCATTATTATTATTATTATTATTATTCTACTACTACGTTATTATTATTATTTTAATATTACTATTTTAGTATTATTATTTTATTATTATTTATCTTATTATTTTATTATTATTATTTCGGTCGCTCCACTTGGATCGTCCACTCATGATTCGGCCTTCTAACCGCCGCAGTTTGTTACTCGTAATATAATACAAAAGAAAGTTAAATTCGTTGTCGTGAAACAAATCGTAATAAAACTATTATAAAAAATCGTAATATAATTCTCACAAGAAAAGACCGAGTGCAAAAGCTAACCCCATTTTTTGAGACGGAGATTCTGCCGAAGCGCTATGCGTTGAATCGACTGATTCTGTCATAGTTTGAACAACTGAACCACCTAATGGTTTTATTGAAGTTCTGGAAAAAATAAACACTTACAAAAGGTGATGGATTCGCTGGCGCTTCTTCGGATGCGATAGAAGACTAAGATTATCTAGTTATTTTTAGCACCCAAAATTAGCCAAATTTTGCAAAGTATCAAACCCTCAAAGCCGTCCTTTATTCCTTTAACATCTAAAATAGAAATACCGGGATTAGCTACCTTCCTCCAGCCACAGTCACCATTAATCGTTCCGTACTCCTCACTATCCTCCTTGT